TCACGTGGGGAAGGTGGAGCCCACGCTTCCAGTCCCCACTCTGGTACCAGCTGCGCGTGTCCCCGGGGTTCGCTCGGTCCGCAGAGCGTAGTCAGAGCCGCCGCCTCGCGGGGTCATTGGGAAGCGCAAAGAAGCCAGTGCAGACGAAGCGCTTAGCAGCCCTAGAGATGGCAGGCGTGCCTGGTGTGTGCCTCCCCGCCCCGCTCCCCAGATGTAAGCCCCCAGAGGGCAGGCGGGGCTCGGCTCAGCTCTCTCCAGGGACCTCCCAGACCCCAGGCCCCGGAAGGGGGCGTGACCTGCCTGAAGGCGGTACCGATGGTGCCACGTGCTTCCTCGAGGAGACACCTGGGCCTCGCGACTCCAGAGCCGTCCTTTCCTGCCATATCCCCTGCCTCTAACCCCCTGGTAGGCCGGCCGCACATGCATTCCCCCTCAATCAGCGTTTTCACTTTGTCTCCCGGTTTTTAAGGTTTTTATGAACTCGTTTACATTTCCCTACAGGTCTGCCCCTTCCCAAGGAGCCCCCTTTATAATATAATTTTAAAGGGCGGAAATACAGTGTAGCAAAATGAGCCGAGTGTGACATGTGCAGGGTTCCGTACCCACGTGTCTCTGCAGAGAAGGAGGGAAAGGACTCACATCCCCTCCTTCCCCCACCCTCCAACATTGTGCAAAGAGGGGAAGGACGCCAAGTGGCAGATCGGGATTCTGAGCCAGGGTGCTATCTCGTCCAGCCTCAGAAGGCCATGAAACATCTATAGTTATGGAAGCAGGAGTGACACAGAGTCCGTTAGGTTCCGTGCAAGGAAGACGTCTGAAGAATTAGAGCTGTGCCGGTGTGGAATGGGCTGCCTCAGCAGGGAGTGGGTTCTCCATCACTGGAAGGCTTCAGGCAAAGACTGGATAGCCACCATTGGGCTATGGCTTGGCCCAGATGGCCCATGAGACCCTATTCTCCTCATTCGGGGATCCTGATGGGCTGAGTTACTTCCTTTTCAGAGTCTAACCCTGCTAGGTAACAGCTGTGTGACATTGAACATATCACTCCGGTTCCTTGGGATGTAGCTTACTCCTCTCCAAAACTGGAGATTGGGCTAGATGTTTCCTATGGACCCTGTAAATGCCAACTGCTTGCAACCCTTTGTCGTAGCCAGTGTGCTGAGGCAGGTGCATCCTGAAGGTGACCTCCGTGGCAGACTTGACTCTTCCTTCCCTTTCCATTTCCCCATTTGTTTAGGAGCAGCCAAATTCTCAGAGGTTTGGTGGAATTCAATCTGTGATCAAAGGAATACACCAAATATGTGCACGAATACTTACATTAATCCTTTAAGTAATTATGATGTCATTATTGTGGATATACACTGGACATGAACATAAATTACAGCCTCTCTAAGGCAAAAAAAAAAAATCAATCTCCCACAGAATGAGCCTTTCTAGGTTTATCCTCAGACCATAAACATAAGGGCTCACCAGGCCTGACTCAAGCCTTTCAGGTGTCAAGAGATTTCAAAGATTGTGCTTTGAGAACTCTGTGTGTGTGTGTGTGTGTGTGTGTGTGTGTGTGTGTGTGTGTGTGT